GACCAGGGATTCTCAAAGCCTGGTCCCAGACCTACAGTGTGAGTCACCAGAGAACTCTCAGAAATGCAAATTCCCTGCTAAACCAGTAACTGGGGGTGTGTTCTTCTCACTGTCTGCTAGAATTGGAGAACCACGGCAGTAATCCATTTTTTTTTATTAGTTTGTTCTTTTTTTTCCCTTAGATTCCTCATATAAGTGAAATCATATAGTGTTTATCTTTCTCTGTCTGACTTAAATACCCTCTATGTGCATCAAAGCAATATCTTTTCCATCCCCTTCCTTTTAGTCTGTGTGTGTCTTTTAATCTGAAGTGAGTCTCTTGTAGGCAGTATATACAGGGGTATTGTTTTCTTACCCTTTCAGCCACTCTGTCTTTTGGTTGGAGCACTTAATTCTTTTCCATTTAAGGTACCTATTGATAGGAATGTAGTTGTTACCATTCTTTATTCCTGTTTTTGATACATGTTTTTTCTTCTTAAAGAAGTTTCTCCAACATTTCCTGTAATACTGGCTTGGTGATGATAAATCCCTTTAGCTTATTTTTGTCTGGGAAGCTCTTTATCTGTTCTTCAACTCTAAATGGTAGCTTTGCTGGATAAAGTATTCTTGTTTGTAGACCTGGGTCTTCATCCTGTCTAATATTTTTTGCCAAGCCCTTCAGTCCTTCATAGTTTCTTTTGAGAAATCAGCTGCCAATCTTATGGGTGTTCCCTAATAAGTAGCTATCTGTTTTTCTTTTGCTGCTTTTAAAATTCTTTCTTTGTATTTAACCTTCGGCATTTTAATTATAATGTGTCTTGGTGTGGGCCTCTTTGAATTCCTGGTTTTGGGGGTTCTCTGAGCTTCCTGGGGTTTTATGTCCATTTCTTTCACCAGATTAGGAAAGTTTTCCATCATTATTTCTTCAAACAGCTGTTCAACATCTTGATTTTCTTCAGTTATGCTGATCAGGTGGATATTTGGATCCTTAATAGTGTCCCATATGCTCCTTAAATTGTTTTTATAGTGTTGGCATCTTATCTCTTGCCATTCTGATTGAGTGTCTTTGGCTTTCCCATCCTCTAGATAGATCATTTGATCTTTTTTTTTAATTCATTTTATTTATTCCTTTGTTTATTTCATTTAATATACTTCTCATCTCAGATAATGTGTTCTCCATTTCAGACTGGTTCCCTTTTATAATTTCCATTTTCATTTTTATGTTTTTTACCTCTTTATTGACCTTCTCCCTGAATTCATCTACACTTCCCCTAAGTTCATTGAACATCTTTATAATCAGTGTTTTGAACTCTGCATCTGTTAGATTATTTGACTTCATTATATCTGGACCTCTGTTCTGTTCTCTCATATGGTTTCTGCTGCTTTGTCTTCCCATTTTGGCTGCCTTTCCATGTCTGTTTCTGTGTACTAAGCAAAACTCCTATGTCTCCCGGTCTTATTAGTGTGAATTTGTGAAGTAGGTTTCCAGGGACACAATCCTGAGAGGGGTTCAGCTGTAGGCCAAATTTAGCTCAAGCCTCTACCCCTTCAGGGCCACCTGTTAAGATTCAGCAATCAATCCACAGATGCTGTGCTTATAGTTGCCTCAAAAGGCCACACTGCCTTCACCAGTGTGAGTCTCAGCAAGGAGCACCAGACTCGCTGAGGATATACCTGGATGTGGCTTGGGTGGGGGCCCGAGTTGGGGGAGGTAGAGTTTTAGGAAATCCTCTGGGTGGAGCAACCTCTGTCATCCAGTTTAATGACCACACAGCTATGGCAGCACTGTGTCTCTGCACACTGGGAAGAGGGAGAACTCAACAGAGAACAATCATACCGCTGGCACTTCTGTACAGAGCGAGCCTCGCCTCAGCCTTCACTACGACAATGTCTCCCTGTAAGTCCCTGGTGTCTCCTGCGCACAGCCGAATTGGCACTGGTGCTTAGAGAGAGCAGGTCTGCGAATATCAGCTCGCCGATGAGGCCCCTTTAAGAGGCTTCGGCCGCTGCCACTGCCACCGCTTCTGTCTCACTCAGCAGCTCGAGACTTGGCAGCCCCACGTCCTCACCTGGTCCTACCTTCTGCCATTGCAGGATGATTCCTTGGATTTCTCCCTAGTTGTATGGATTGTTCATCAGAATCCCGGGTGATTTTTCCTTGCTGCTGCTTCGTTTCCATCATAATTTTGATTTGGTCGCCAGAGGGATGAACAAAACCTCTATCATCTATGCTATTTTTTTTTCCTCCTCGTGGCATTCTACCTTTTAAAGTACTTATCCTGTCTTTTTTTGTGCTGTTTCAGGAGGAAGTAATGATACATATATTCAATTCGTCATGGTAACTGAGATGGTTATAGCATTTTCATTTCAACCAGCATTGTTCAAGAGCATTGGCTTCCTCACACTTTTACCAGCATTGGGCCCAGTAAACCATTTATTGATCACAAATAAACTTGTTCATCCCTAAATGCTCAATTAAATAAGACCTGGGTCTCAGTGGGTCTCAGTCATTCAGTGATGGAGCTGTGGTGACACCAAAGGTCTACAGTTTCTTCAGCCTCCTTGATTTGGTCCCTGGCCGCGCTAGCATAATCGATCCAGAAAAGACTTTAATCCCATTTCCGAAGGCTAAGATGCACCTCCTGGACCTCGCTCGCTTTGTCTGTAAGGTGGAAGGGGACGCATAAAAGTGAGCTTTCAGTGAACTATAGAATACTCTGAAACGGTAGTGACTGAGACGAATGGCAGAGCATAGCGCCCAATTCATTTTGAGTTTCAGTGCTGTGTCCAAGGAGAGAGACACTGGTTGGTCCCTGTGTGGGGCTTACCCATCCGACACTGCCCATTTCTCTCTTTTTTACTTTTTTCTTTTTAACAGTTCAAGGGGCTTCATTTTCCTACCCGTCGCAGTATGGACTCACGGGGAAAGCGTCCTTTCCATGGCGCTCACTGAGAGCCTCTCCAGGGGGAGCAGGCTGGCGCTTCAGCTGAGCCCATACCTTTCTCTGTGGCATCCTTCTTTTATGACCATTTTCCTTCACAGGTTTCAGGGAGCTTTCTGGGCTCTTAGAGAATTTACTGCGCTCGATACACACCTTAATTCTCTTGACAAGAACCTCGCCCTTGATTTGCTTGTTCACAACAGGCCACCTGCATGCTGGGTGACTCCTAGTTTTGTCCTGGGAACTCTGGTGGACTGAACAGTGCCCATTCCCCTCTTCTGCAGTACCACCTGTCTGGTGACCCTTGTGCACGTGGCCAGCTCCATGTTTTCTAAAAGGCCCAGGGAACATGCAGCGGACGCCTCACCTCTTCCCCTTGTGTCGCTCATTTTGGCAAATTACTAGGAGATGGTGGCTCCAGCCCATAGGGCCCACTGCAGGTCAGTGGTCACTTCTGTCCTCCCCAGGAGTCCTCCTTCTGACCCTGGCTTCCCTACTTGGTCTCCTGCCCACCAACCAGTTTAGGTTTTATTTATATGGACTTCATTTAGGAAGGACACACCACCCTTTCCATTTACTCTGACAGAGAACTATCATCTCACTTTGTGCTTTTAAAGCCAAATGTTTAATCACATGTGTTCATCTTATTAAATTATTATGTATAAGAAAACATAAAAATTATTTAAATAACCCAGAATCCTGCTACCCAGAAACAATTTTCATGTGTTTTTTGATGTATATTTATCATTTTTGGTCTGTGAACACACACTGGTTTAAAAAATCTCAAAAAGGAGAGATTTTGCACATACATCTTTCTATATCATTAAACAGATTTTCAAAGAACATTTTCCATTATTTTTTCCAGATCTATTGATGTGAAATTGATAAAAAACTGAATATAATTAATGTATACCATTAGACGGTTTTGAACACAAATAAATACTATTGATACCATCATCACAACTAAGGTAGTAAACAGATCCATCACCTCCAAGTTTACTTGTGTCCTTTTGCTCAGTGTGTGTGTGTGTGTGTGTGTGTGTTAAGAAAAGTAAACATGAGATCTACCCTTTTAACAAATTTTTAAGTGAACAATATTGCAAATCATATATATAGGATGAGTTCATTTCCAAAATATATAAGGAACTCCTAGGACTCAATAACAAAACAAAAAGAAACAAAACAAACAAAACAAAAAACCTAATTTAAAAATGGGCAAAGGACTTGAACAAACATTTCTTCAAAGAAGACTTGCAGGTCCAGAGACAGGTGCTCAGTCTCACCAATCATCAGGGAAACACAAATCAAAATCATGATGAGCCACCACCTTTGTTTAAACAAAAATCTTTAACTTCCAAGACTGAAGTCTTTTTGTCAGTCAAGGTTTTATTGAGCCAAAAATGCTGGATGAAAGACCCGTCTTGGACCTGGAGTCTAAAGTACCAGCAGCAGCATGGCTAGATATAAAAGACAGCTTGTCCGAAGTCCCAGAGTTTTGCAAGTGTTTGCAAGCTCTGGGCTAGCAGGGTCCACAGAAACAATGTCTCTGAAACCCTTGTGTAAACAGCAAACAGAGGCTCCTTCTCAGTATTTTTCTCTCTTGGTCCCTCTCACCCTCTGCTCCTGAGAGAAGACCACACTCTGTCTGTGGAGTGTTTCTCCTTTTCTAATAAACTTTCCTTTTGACTCTAACGTTGACCTGTGTGTTGAATTCTTTCCACACTCTCTGCTAAAGGACTCTCTTCTTCTCTCGGTGCAGGGCTTGGTCTCCCCTTGCACACCCCTCACGTGGTGTACGTCCTAATAAGATTAGAGATGAAGCTGCAGAAGTCGATAAGTTATTGTGGATTGATAGATGCTAGAGGGCAGGTGGTTTACACTCATTGTAATGGAAGTTAAACGAACCTATATGTAGTGTAGCAATCATAACCGTGGCATTGTTTTCTGGAATAAATCTCTATTGTTCAAATGCTTTCAGAAACAGCTGTTTTGTCTTTCTGCTGTATTCTCAACAATTAATATAACAATAATAAAGATAATAATGTAAATAGCTCGTGCTTTGACACATCCAATAATAACTTTGAACACTTCTTTCTTGTAATGTTTTCAGTTGAAAGACATCCTACTGAGGAAAGTTAATCTGGGTTATGTGGTTAAATCCCAAATGTGTGGGCATTTCTTATTCTCATTTTCTTTTTTTAAAAGGTATGTCACAGCTTTATTTTTGTTTTTAATGGATATATAGTTGACATAACATTGTATGAATTCAAGGTATACAGGTTTTGATTTGATACATTTACATGTTGCAGTATGAATGATTTTGTGGGTTGGCATAACCATTTCTTTTTGTGTGTGGTGAGAACATTTAAGATCTACGCTGTCAGCAGCTTTCAAATAGATAAACACGGTGCTAACTGTGCTGTACTCAGAGCCCAGGACTTTTTATCTTTTAGTTGCAAGTTTGCAGCCTCAAACCGAGGTCCCCAGGTTTTGGGGAGCACGGATTCTTGCCGCCTCTGGCTCTGTAGCTGATTAGACCCCAAGGGGATGGAGGCCCAGGACAGATTTTTAGTCAAGGAAATCAGCTTCCTAACCAGGGCCTGTTATAGTTGAAGTCAGGCCTGTCTTGATGGCCAAGGCCATTATTCAGAAATACCTTCTCGGTGTCCAATCCCTTTAACCTAAGAGGCGCTCATAGTAAACATTTAATTGCATTAAATTAGGTTTGACTCTCAGTTTTCAGATGTGTGATTATTAGTAAGAAATACTGGTGCAACCTCTTGCTGTAAAACCAAGATGCATCCATCTCTCGTTAGAAATCACAGAATTTACTAAGTGGATGTGGCATTTTAAGTAAATACCATGGGAGTCCCTTTACCTCTGAATAAATGAACTGTAGTCACCAAGTTGGCTTGCCTTCGGAAGCGTGGGAAACTCTAATCTAGAATCAGAGGCTGTAACTGCTTTGCTTCACACGGTCTCACTCCGTAAAATCAGATATTCTTTAAGAGAACAGTGTCTCTTGTTTCGTACGCTTCATTCTGTAATTCCACAGAACTGTATTACAAATGTTCCCCAAGGATCCCCATGCCTGTGCCTCACTCTGGCCTGCAGCAAGTACTTGCATATGAAAATACTCAGTGAAAATGATTATTGTCACAGCCCTGTCCCCACGGGTCCCCAGGTTTAATGCATCATGGGAAATGGACTCAGCCTGCTTTGTCCTACAGGTGCAGAGTTATGGAAGAGGCAGGTTCAAACGTCCTGTGGTGGATCCAGACCCCAGACAGTGGGAGATCTGCTGTGCAGGAAGCTGTGGTGATGGCCATGGTCTGCCCTCCTCGGAGAGCAGGGACAGAAAGGTTCTCAGTGGAGGAGACACAGCCCAGCCTGCAAGATGTGGTTTCCATTTGTCTTGCATGACAGATCTGCATTCTTACATTGTTTTTTAAATTTCACTTTAAATTTTTAATTTATTTTTGAAATAGAATTGACAAATAAATTGCACATATATTAAAGGTGTGTAATGTGATGTTTTGATAGACACATACACTATGGAGTTGTCACCACGATCAGTTAATTATCACATCCATCATCTCACTGAGTCACTTAGTAAATTCTAAGTATGTCACACAGCAGCCCTGACAATAGTCACAATGGAGCACATTACATCCTCAGAGCTTAAACACCTTATAACTACAAGTTTGCACCTTTGACCAACATCTCCCCACTCCTCACACCCCTCAATCCCCACCATTCATACTATTTTGTATTTCTCTGAGTTCAGCTTTTTTTAGATTCCATATATAAGTGATCTCAAACAATATAGCCTAATACCCTCCAGTTTCACCCACGTTGTCTCAAATGGCTATATTTCCTTTATGTATAGCTGAATAATATTCCATTGCATATATGAACACATTTTCTTTGTCCACTCATTTGTTGACAGACACTTAGATATTTTCATATCTTGATTATTGTGAATAAAAGTGCAATGAAAAGGGTAGTACAGGTATTGGCAACAGGTATATGAAAAGGTGCTCAACATCACTAGCCATCAGAGAAATAAAAATAAAACTATAATGAGGTATCACTTCACACCTGTCAGAACGGTTATCATTAAAAAGATGAGCTAACAAGTGCTGGCGAAGATGTGGAAAAAAGAAAGCAGTTTTGGTGTGAACATGAGTTGGAGCAGCCACTGTGGAAACAGTATGGCAGTTTCTCAACATTCTTACTTAAAACTTCAGTTCATTTAATAAAAACCTTGCCACTTCAGCAAAGCAATCTGATAACTAACTGAGCCTAATGATGTTCTCTTGTTTTCCCCAAGGCATTACAGTGTTCTGATAGGGTCTGAGGCATTAAAAAGTGTGCTTCTGGAGTTCTACAGACAGAGCGAATCACAGTTGGCTCCTGAACATTGCAGTTCAGCCCGGATGCTGGGCCAGCAGCAGGGCTGCGTGTGTGGGGTATACATCTGAGCACACAGAGCCCATGCAGCTACGTCTGCGTGAAGCTCGTTTCCTCAAGCATCGAGTCTGGCTGTGTGTCTGGAAGGGATGTGTAAGAGGAGATATTCTTGGCTGAGAGGTGGCTGTGTGACATTATCATTTCTCCATCACTGGCATAAGTAGGAGGCTTAACTGGCATCAGAGCTAACTGAAATACAAAGGTACAAGCTTTCAGTTCTGAGATAACTAAGTTCTGGGGATGTGTGTACATGTGGTGTTTACAGTTCATAATACTGTACTGTATACCTGAAATCAGCTGAGAGAGTAGATCTTAAATTTTCTACAGCAAACATAGCAAGCAAATCTGAAATCTTGCAGCCTGAACCCCATCCCCTGCTCACAGCAGTGAATACAGTCATTTGGAAAATCAGAACATATAGTGCCCAGGAGGTAAATTCTATTTCTTTCTGTCTGTTCTGTGGACCAAATAAAACTGCCAGAGTTCTCTGAGCCACTTGGGAGGTTTCTGTGCAACCCTTTCCTCCCAAAGCCTTAATCCAGCTTTCCCCACACACCCTCCCTGGGGTCACTGCACTCTACAAGGAGTTTCTTCACACTGAAAATATTATACTAGCATACATTTTCTTCTAAAACATATTAAATTACATGTAATATGAAACAACAACATGCACGTTTACTAGTTATTAGTTTGTCTTCCCATCTTTTCTAAGATTTCATCGCCATCTTAAAAATGCAAATCCCTGCCACCATTCACCTCAAGGTTTCCCATTTTAGGAAGCAGCTGGGGTCCAAACCCAACACCCTACACTGGGTACTTCTGTCCCAGTGGGGCTAGTTCAGAACCAGCATTCATTTCCTGCGTTCATGGGCACCACA